ATTGCAGATCCGATGGAGTTGCTTTGTGGATTGTAGACGCCGTCTGTCTGCTTGTATCAGTGTTGCAGATCCGGTGGCGTTGGATTGTGATGTTGACTCTCCCTTTCTCAATCACAGGGGAAGGTTTTCTTTTGGACTTTGAAGTCCATTGATTATTACTTTGCTTTGAAAAGATCTCCTTTCGAGATCTTTAATGTAATGGACTTTTTCGTACATCGGGTTGCCATTGTACTTGAAATACTTGAAGATCTTGATCACCGTTGCTGTAGGTGATATTCATGCTTGTGCCCATAGTGGTTCATCGTGCCTACGATATATCCACTGTTGTTATCCACAAGTTGTTTGTAGCCATTTTCAAGGGACCGTTGTATCCACTACAAGCTTCTAGAAAATGTTTGCAGGAAATTCATTCTTTCTGCATCATATCCACCCTTTCACCAATCTCGGGTGGGTTTGTTGATTGTACTCAAAAACTTGTAGATCTTGATCACCGTTGTTGTAGGTGATATATATACTTGTGCCCACAGTGGTTCGTTATGCTTACGATGTACACACTGTTGTTATCAACAAATATTCATTTGCTGGAGATTAGTTGTATCCGCTACGACCTCCTAGTAGTATTCATAGGGGAACCCTTGCTTTTGTATTGAAACCACATTTCACCAATCTCAGGTGGTTTGTAGTCATTTGCAGGTGAGCCGTATTGAGTGTGATGAGTCTTTTATTGTTCAAGTCTGACTCAAGTTTTGATGTTCAAGTAAATTTTGGACTCGCAAGTCTTGACACAGATTCTTGCACATTTGTTTCAGCTTGAGTCCAAGTAGATTTATTCCTTGCAGTCCAATTTGATTCGAGTTCTTTTGATTGAGTTTTAGTTCCAATTTGATTTCATTCTATTTGGATTTGATCTTTAGAAATCATTTAGAACTTTGTTCAATAGTCCATGTTCAAGTTCAAAGGTCAACAAATCAAGAAGTCCACAAGTCCTCTATTCTTATTCATTTGAGTCCCACTGCTTGTTCTTTTTTGAGTTCAAATCAGGTCCGAGCGTTACAGTATTTCACCTAAAATTTTGGCAGCCTCCCAGCGTCTCCCCCGTTTAGGGGAAAACTACAAGAAAATTGGGCCTCCTGCCACGCTAGAGAAAAGCGTGTACGATAGGTGCCCTCTTACGAGAACACCACGGCCGTGTAAAGTCTTTGTCCCCACTACGCCAGAGAAAGGCGTGTATGGGTCTTCGGTACCTGTTGCAAGAGAGAAGCAGTTGTTTCCCCACAAGCGGGTACTTATAAATATCCCGATCTTGTCATAGGAACCGCACTGGGTTCCCTTTCCACCAAGCTAGAGAAAAGAGTGTATATGTGGTTTGCCGGTGCGCCACGAACGTCGAGAACAGGTTTGGAACCAAGGGTCGCTCGCCTACCTTGTCATGGGTGTCACGCCGGTTGCCCCTCTGTGTACGCCGGTCCCCTCCCACATGCTAAATGAAAAGCGTGGTATAGGCAGACCACCGACGCGACAGGTGCGAGGTAAAAGGAGCGAAAAAGATCCAAAAAGTGTGACCGGTGCCGGATGACTGATCAACCGACGTTGATGGGCACAGATGTCGTAGCGGAGACAAGGCAATGGATTTCCTCTCTTTTATAATATAAATTAAATAAATAAATTATAATTATACAATTAAAGTTATGTAATTATTAACTAAATTATAATTTAATATAATTAATATATCATAATCAATTAATGAACTAATTATAATAACAGAAATAATTATGATTAGTCAATGATTATAAAACTACATCACGAATTAGAATAATAAGAAAAAATTTGTAAATATATAGATAAATAATTATTATAAATAACAATAATTATAAAAAATAAAAGGAAACGTTTGGCGAATGTTTTTTTTTTACGGATCGCGTAGAAGTGCGTGAGAGGGAATTGTCACCTTACAGCCAAACAGAGCCCCTACGGTGTTGTCCGATTTAATGGCCATAAACTTTCACATCTGATAGTAAGGAAAGTCGCCGGGAGCATGTCGAGTTACGAGTCCGAGAAAGCTGAATATGGCACGAAAGGGAAAGTTAACTTCCACAGCCAGTCTGTTCGTGTCTTGCTTCGACATATGACGGCTAACCCTCGATCGCAGCAGGGAAAGCAAAGAGGAGCGAAGTCGAACTAGCACCGAAGGATGGAGGATCGGAGAGAAATCACGTCGGGAGCCTTCAGCCTCGTTTCTTTCGAGGGTTTATTTAACGACTCTGAATCGAGTCATTGCCACCGATCGTAGGAGAAATACGGCGAGATCGGCGCGAGCGACGTGCGACGTGGCTGAAGGGAACTGACTCGATTGGCAAAGAGTAAGGATGTATCTTTTTGTTAGGGAGGGCAAAAATGCCCCCCAACAAATGTGGTAGGCGTCTGGAGCGGGCCGCGTTTGTTGTATGCTGATTGACCCTGTGGATCTCTAGATGTTGTCCTAGATGTCACACAAGGGCTTCCATTTAGTGGATCTCCAAAAGTTTGTTTGGATGTCACCCTAAAATTTTCTTGCTCTATAGATCTCTTTGATGTATCAATAGATGATTGGTATCTTATCCAAATTTTAAATATTTATTTAGGGATCCCGGCATATGGTACGATGTCGACCCAAATAAATATTTAAAATGCCTCCAGTCTTTAGGGACATTTATAGATGTCATTCAGGGAACTCATTCTACGACTTTTGCTAGAGTCCCGAGATTTTGATTCCTTCTGTCCTGTGCTTTGTGCTGCGGACTTAGTGAAGGATTGTCTTATTTGTCTTTACTGACTTGTCAGAAATTTTATATTCTTTCTGCCCTTTGCCTCTAGCTTTAGCGGGCTTGATGAAGGGGTAGATGCCGGTGACCTAAACCCTTAGGTTTGTGCTAGGTCAATGGCGAAAAGTCATCGGTCCAGAGCTTTGTTCATAGCGGACTTGTTGATGACGAATCCTTTTAGTTCAACCATAGGCTTTTCTTGAACTTAGTGATAGTTTTCTCCGGTCCTTTGCTTTGTGCCTTGACAAACTTGTTGAAGAAAAGTTCCTTCGACCCTTGTTTTGTGCTTTACGGATTTGTTGAAGGATTTGCAGGTTCTGGATTCAGTTGATAGTACCGAACATAGGTAGTATCTTGATCCTTAACCACTTGAGAAGACTTTAATCTGAGTCACTTGAGTTTATCAGATCGGGAGAGCTGGGATTTGACAGCTCTTCGTCCTCTAGTTGTTGAGATGGGGGTTCCTCTACTACGGCCTTTGTTATGGCTTATTGAGTAGATAGAGCTGCCAGCGATCCGGCCATATTTGGGCTTGTTGGATCTGACCTCATACACCCATTCTGGCTTCAGACTTGAGCTATGAGAATTATGCTCCCCAATGCTGATTTTGCTGAAGTTGACAGATTTGGAGTCATCCTTCGCGGTTGTAGATTTTGGAGCCTACTAACATTCAGTAGTTGCTCGAGACTCATCTTCCCTTAGAACTTTGATTCTCCAATTGTTTTGGAGAACTTTGTAGACTATGGTCACTTGAACTGGTCGAGTCAAATTGGCCTTCGTTCTTCCTTCAGTCCCTACTGACGGGTTGACGAAGTGGGGGTTCCGCTACTACGGCCGTTCTTATGGCTTGTTGAGTAGACGGAGCTACTAGTGATCCGGCCATATTTGGGCTTATTGGATCCGACCTTTTACACCCATTCGAACCTTAAGCTTCAGGCTGTTGAAAGACTTCAAGATTTTCCGGCTCAATTTTGTATGAGTGTGTAGTTTCAAAAGTCTCTTTCTTGACTTTTGAGTCTTGGTTTGTTGGAAAAGGTGTCTCGATCTTTTGAGAGGTCACATGCATATACTTTGAAAAATAAGATCTTTGTATTCTTTAGCACAAAAGAATATTTAAACTGATAATTTTAAATATTTATTCAGGGATCTCGGCATGAGGCACGATGTCGACCCGAATAAGTATTTAAAATGCCTCCTATCTCATAGGGACATTTTAGAGCAGAATAAATTGGAATCTTAAAATTTTAAATATTTATTTGGGGATCTCGACACGCAGCGCGATGTTGACCCAAATAAATATTTAAAATGCCCCCAGTCTAATGGGGGATTTTGAAATGTATACTCATAACACGAGAATTTAAAAATAGAGAATATATACGCTAATAAATGTGTATGAAAGTATAGCATATTAAACATGACATCTGCTTGAGCAATTCATGCATAGTATTTCTTCAGGTATCGGCCATTGATCGGCGGCATGGGCCTTTGACCATTCAGATCGATGAGTTGATAAGCTCCACCCTGATACACCTTTTTGATGACGAAAGGTCCTTCCCAGTTGGAAACGAATTTGCCACCAATTTTTTGGTGTGGGATGATTGGCCTTTTCTGCACCAGGACCAATTCTCCTTTTTGAAATGATCGAGGATGAACCATTCGATCAAAAGACTTTGTCATTCTTGCTTGGTAGATTTCTAGGTTCTGCTGAGCTTGCAACCTGAGTTCATCGAGTGCATCGTGCTCCTCCATTCTTAAACGAACATTTTGTTCTTGGGTGAGATCATTCTGAACTGCTACCCGAAGTGACGGAAGTTCAACTTCTAGTGGCAGTATGGCCTCAACTCCAAATACTAGAGAGTAAGGAGTGGCTTTGGTTGGCATTTTATAAGTTGTACGATACGCCCACAACGCTTCTGCCACTTTCGTGTGCCATTCTCTTTTATTCTTGGTGAGAATCTTCTTCAGTAATTTCACCAGCGTCTTGTTGAAGACTTCTGCCAACCCATTTGCTCTTGGATAATATATAGAGGAATACCACCAATCAATTTTGTGCCGATCAACGAACTTGTAGATTTTTGTACTTTTGAATGCAGTACTGTTGTCTGAGATTATGCGGCGTGGCACACCGAATCTATAAACAACATTGTGGGTGAAGAAGTTGATCACGTGCTCGGACGTAACTTCTTTGAATTGAGCCGCTTCTGCCCACTTTGAGAAGTAGTTTGTCGCTGCCAAGATAAAGCGGTGTCCTGCTGATGACGGTTGATCTATTGGCCCAATAACATCAGTACTCCAGCATTCGAACGGCCAGGATGCTATTGTATGGTGCAGTGGATTTGGCGGTTGATGTTTAACATCACCGTGGATCTGGAACTCATGGCACCTCTTAGCGTGATTGATACAATCACTGACCATGGTCGGCCAATAGTAGCCCATTCTTTTAATTTTGACTTCTATCTTGGGACCTGATTGGTGCGCTCCACAAAGTCCTTCGTGAATTTCTTCCACCACCTTATCAACTTCTCGAGTACCTAGGCACCTTAGCCACATTTGATCGAAAGCACGTCGATACAATGTGTTGTTGACAAAAGCATATCGTAGTGCTCTCTTTCTAATTTGAGCAGCTAATGATTTGTCTGTTGGTAGTATACCTTCCTTGAAGTAATCAACGAAAGGTTGCCTCCAGTCATTTTCTTCTTCGACATCTAAGCAATGCCACCATGATTCTGAAGCTTGACTGGCCTTGCGTCTTTTCTTAGGAACTTGATTTTTTTCAGACTGATCTTCGAGATCAACTGGTTGGGGAGGTTGAGGAGCAACCGGAGTTGCATCCTGCTGGCTTGAATTTGGTATTCCCTCTACCTGTGGGAATTGTAATAATGCTAGCTCTAGGATCCGACGACTATGCACCATAATCATTAGAGTCCATTCGTCATCCATATTCGCCATTTCTTTAGCCAATTTGGCAAGAGAATCGGCTTTGGCATTTTTTCCCTGTGGAACTTGAGTTAGTTTTACAACTGGAATTTGCTTCATAAGCTCAAGAACTCGTTGATGATAACAGGCCAACTCAAACTTGATGATTTTATAAACTCTTAATACTTGATTCACAACATGTTGAGAATCACCAAAGATTTGAAGATTTTGGATTCTAACATCGATTGCAATCTCCAACCCAGCTATTAGGGCTTCATATTCGGCTTCATTGTTTGTCCGAGGTTCAGTTAAACTGAATGAGAATCTCATTATGCCTCCCTCGGGCGCCACAAAAATGAGTCTGATTCCGGCTTGAGCCTTCTCTAGATTTGGAGGTCGAGCACGCTTGATTGATGATGCTCCATCAAAGTATATTTCTCATACTCGTAGATCTCCTCTTATTCAACATTCATGATTTGCTCGTCAGGTAGATCATCATTGAGCGGTGAATCCGTAGGGATAGGGTGTGCAGCGAGAAAATCTGCCAATACCTCCCCTTTCACTACTTTCTGTGGCATGTATGTGATATCAAACTGTAGTAAAATCACTACCCACCTTGCCAAATGACCTGTCAACGCTGGTCTTGTCATCAAGAACATCAGCGGATCGATCTTTGATATCAAGGTGATTTTATGAGATAGTATATAGTGGCGGAGCTTCTGAACAGCAAAAATCAGAGCCAAGCAATGCTTCTCGATAGGGGAGTAGCAGATTTCTGCTCCTATCAACCTCCGGCTGATGTAGTAGAGTGCATTCTCCTTGCCTTCTTCATTATGCTTGGCCAATAGTGCTTCGAGGGACTCTTCTAGTGCTGTTGTGTATAGTATAAGAGGCTTCCCCGGAATTGGCGCCGCAAGAATGGGTGGATTTAACAGATATCTTTTGATGCTGTCAAATACTTCTTGGCACTCTTCATCCTACTTGAAGTGGACATCTTTCTTCATCAGTTTTGAAAATGGTTGGCACCTACCCGACACATTCGATATGAATCTCCGAATGAAAGCCAGTTGTCCTTGTAAAGAACGAAGTTGTCGAAGGTTCTTTGGAGGTTGCATCTCCATGATTGTCTTGATCTTGTTGGGGTCGACTTCAATGCCTCGATGTCGAACAACGTATCCCAGGAATTTTCCTGAGGATACCCCAAATGCACACTTGAGAGGGTTCATCTTCAGATCATATTTTCTGATCCTTTCGAACACAATTCTCAAGTCATGAAGGTGATCTATTCAATTCATGATCTTAATGACCAAGTCATCTACATAGCATTCGACCTTTTGATGAATCAAATCATCAAATATAAGAGTCATAGCCCGTTGGTAAGTGGCACCAGCATTCTTCAGGCCGAAGGGCATGACTATGTAGCAGAATATGCCTATAGGCGTTCTGAATGATGTATGTCTTTCATCTTCAAGCGCCATTTTAATTTGATTGTAGCCCGACGATCCGTCCATGAAGGAGAACATTTCGTAGTTAGAAGTGTTGTCAACTAGAAGTTCTGATACCGGGAGCGGAAAGTCATCTTTCGGGCATGCCTTATTGAGGTCCCTGAAGTCGATGCAGATACGAATCTGGCCATTCTTCTTCTTTACAGGGATGATATTGGCAATCCAGTCAGTATACTTCTCTTCTCGGATGAAGCCTGCTTTTATGAGCTTCTTTGTTTCTGCAATCACCTGTTCTTCAATCTCCAATCTCATTATCCTTGGAGCCTGCTTGACAGGTACTGCATCAGGCTTGATTGCTAATCTGTGAACTGCCACTTTAAGGGATAAGCTAGGCATTTCAGCATATGTCCAGGCAAAACAGTCCCTAAATTCACAGAGAAGTTCCTTTATTTCTTCTATTTGATCCTCGGACAGAAGAGAACTAATGAAGGTTGGGTGAGGATCCTCCTCAGTCCCCAAGTTGACTTCTTTGAGCTCGTCCATCGTAGCAGCTTGTCCACCATCTTCCAGTTCTTCTGGTGCAGGCTCAGCTTCTACGGGTTGATCATCATAATCATCGGCTTCGCGTGTCTCTTCAGCATCACCATCTTCAGATTCAATTCTCATGCATGTGATTGCCCGACAAGTCTCTTTCCGGAGGAATTTTCTTTTGATGAATCTGATGCCCTTATATGCGTCCATATCCGTTCGTCATAATGGATGTGGCTTACTCCTATACCAGAGGCCCAACCTTGTACGAAACTGTCGCTTGGTAGTAGGAATATTAATTTTCTTTCGTATCATTCTTCGAATATTCTTGGTATTAAACTTGGGTAGCCTCGTAGGAAATAATTCCTCGGAGTCGATGAGCATGCAATCCCAGTCATGATTCTCCTCTTCACGAACTCCTATAGAATATAACACATTCTTTGGCACAGTCCCATTTTTACGGGGAGGCAGATAGAGAGTGACGAGTTCTTCAACTTTATGCACCTCTTGTGGAATAATTTCTTTGAAATATTATAAAGGAACACGCGTGACTATGAGTTCACTATCTGAAATTGATAGGCTGTCAATTCTTCTAGGGAACACATTCTGCACCGTGTTCATATAAATAGAATCGTAGTCATAATCATCATTTGAAAATTTAACCTGCCTACTCCATTCATCCGTGGACTGGCATATTTTTGAGATTTTGCAGGAGAAACGTCATCTTCATCCGTGTCACTCCCAAGATGAGGTACATGCTTCTTTCCTTTGGGAATGCTTGATGCTTTTGGAAGAGTCGGCATTGCCTTCTTTCTTCCTACACGCTTCTTCTCATCTTCTTTCTTGGATTTCTTTGCAGCCTTAGAATTTGATGCTCTAGCCTCAAGAGAACTTGATGACTTTTGCTTCTTTGGCATGAAGTACTTAGCATCTTCATAAACCATTACTTCATGTACTGCAAAGGGCTGAATATCACCAGAAATTATGAATTCTTATCCTTCTTTGAGATACTTCATGCACTGGTGCAATGTTGAAGGGACAACACCATATTCATGTAGCCAGGGGCGACCCAATAACTCCTTGAATGAAGTGTCCGTATCAATTACATGGAATTTGGCTTCCGTATGGAGTTCCCCAAATACAAGAGGAAGCATAAACGAACCAAGGGTTTTCTGCCCTTTCTCATTGAATCCGTATACCATCAACTTGTCTTGCCCAAGAAGTTCCACATCGAGGCAGAGTGATCTCAGTGCTTTAAGACTCATGAGATTTACGGAAGATCCGGGATCGATCAAAATTCGACTGATCACCATATCGTCGCTCTCTACCGTAACATACAATGTGCGATTATGATCTGTCGTTCCAAGCATCATATCATACTCGGCAAAGGTGATGAGGGGCTCATTTCGAGCTTGCAAGACTTCCGTCAAGTTGTGTTCAGCAAAATATGTCTCATATCTTTCGGGGTCCTTGAGAGCTTAAATCAAAGTCTCTCGAAGGTCTTTAGACATCAGTAAGGAGTCATATATACTGAGTTGTGCTGGGATCTTCCTCAAGTGGGACAAGATATTATAATATATCCCCTTGGATGAAGTATTATTTTTCTTGGGATCTTCGAGGATAATATCTTCATTGATAACTATTTCTTTTCCCTTATCTTTATTAGGAATCCCTTTCTTTGGTGGAGGCGGCAGTACCTTACCACTTCTCAACTGTACTTGGGCCACCTCATCTGATTCAGACTTGTTTGATGAAGAATTCTCTTCAGAGTCAGCCATTGTTATTTTTGGGGATTCATCTGTAGACTCGGAATCATCTCCCAACTTCACTTGTTTCATTTGCGATTCTATGCTTGGATCTAAATCTTCATCATCTGGAAAACATAGATCATGTGAATTGAATTCCATTGATGATACCATTAGACAGAACTCAGGGGCCGCTTCTTCAGCGTATTTCTCCCTATTTGATATCTCTGATGTCGTAAAGATGACTCGGCATTTCTCTGTAGGAAGGGATTCATCCTCAGCTTCTTCATTTTCATCTAATTTAAGCTCTTTCATGAAATCACCGAGCTTAATAGGCCTCCTGGTAGTCTGGTAATATTCACCCAAACTATCGATAGTCTTTTGAAATGCAGTCTTCTTCGCCATAGGCTTCTTCAACTTTGCTTTCTTCTTAGAAGACTTTGACTTTGCTTCGCCAGATTTTGACGAGCTAGCTTGGCCAGGTTGCTATTTTGAGGTAGATACTTGTGACACATGCAACCATTTTAAGTTTAATACTGGCTCAGTAGGAGACTTCCACTTGACACCTGGAACTCCTTCTAGCTGTTTCAACATTTTAATGTCTTCTTGGAGACCACGGTCTCCCATTGCTCATCGTGAATAGATTCTTTTGTTGTTGTTTCTTTAGACGGGAATATGGAAGAGGACGTGACTACCCGGGTGGATTCCTTTCTGGGATGAACTAACACATTATCTGATAATGTCAGTTCTTGCCTCTTGTATATCTTTTCCAACCAATCTTTAAATACATAACAATCTTCAATTGGATGACTAACTACCCGATGATACGGGTAATAGTTCGGGTCGCCACTGTGTTTAGACTCTTCAGGTCTTTTGCATTCTGGCAATTCCAGACCATTCTTGAGTGCTTGTCGGAATAGCTTGGCGACACTTTCCCTCTTGAATGAATATTCTTTATTCATTTTCTCCTTGAGGGATGGGAACGTTCTATCACCAGTTCCTGCAGTCTGCCTATGGCGCTCTCCTCCACCAAGAAAGGCTTGAGGTTTATCATTTCCTCCAAGTACCGGCTTTGGTTGAGGATTAGGATTGTAAGCATGTTTCGGTTTTTCTTCGTACTGCATAGGCTGCTTTCCTTTGTCTACATTATACACTACCCGTTTACCTTTATCAAGTCTGGGATGGAATGTAGAGTAGACCTCATTCTTTCTGGCATCAGGAGCTTTAGCCTTTTTGGATTTATTAGGAAAACTTTCAGACTTTGACAAATTCAATTTTTCAAACTTAGCCACCCTGTCCAGCAGATCTTGAAAGGTCGTGATAGAAGCCATGCATAAGAAAGATTGCATTTTATCATCAATATTCACCATCAGTAATTGAACTGCATGCTCTTCTTCCAGTTGCTGCTCTCATTTCATACTGAGATTGCGCCAGCGTGTTATATACCCGTCACTGATTCATCTTTTCTCCTCTTATCAAGGGCAAGATCAGCAATGGTTGTCTTCTCTATTGCACTGGCAAACCTTTTTACGAACAAGGCCTCCAGCTCCGCAAAGGTTTTCAGAGAATCATTTGGCAACATCGGCATACCATTCAAAAGCAGTTCCACTCA